GTCCTTTGTAGATGATCAATAAACTCTCAAAAGGCTATCAATAACATATCAACAACATATGTGTAAATTTGCAGTAATGAAGAACATGAACATTCAAGTGAATATTTTCTTACAGTTTGTAGACGGACAACAGTTCTTTCTGATTAACGTATCGACATGAAGTAGATATGTTGTTTATATGTTAATTACATTAAGTAGATGTTTTGTTGACATTTCTTACACTAAGACGTTTTGTTGATACATTACTTACATTAAGTAGATTTTTTGTTGATACATTAATTACATTAAGTAGATGCTTTGTTAATAAGTTACTATATTAGGTAGATTTTTTGATACATTTAATACGTTTTGTTGATATTACTTATATTAAGTAGATTTTTTGTTGATACATTAATTACATTCAGTAGATGATTTGTTGACATTTCTTACACTAAGACGTTTTGTTGATACATTACTTACATTAAGTAGATTTTTTGCTGATACATTAATTAAATTCAGTAGATGTTTTGTTAATAAGTTACTGTGTTAGGTAGATTTTTTGATACATTTAATACATTAGTTTTGTTGATATTACTTATTAAGTAGCTGTTTTGTTGACACATTACTTACATGAAGTAGATGATTTGTTGACATTACTTACATTAAGTAGATGTTTTGTTGATGTTACTTACATTAAGTAGATGTTTTGTTGACACATTACTTACATTAAGTAGATATATTGCTGATGTGTTTCATTAAGTACATTTATTCTTGGTGTTACTTACATAACAGCTTGTTGAGCACCTAGAGATGACATGTATTATACCTGTTACATGTTCAGTAACTTCTCATGTAAACATATACAGTTATGAAAGTGGACACTCCAAATAAAGTGAAAAGCAAGTGCATTCAGTAAATTATTAACAGACTTTATTTAAACAGTTAAACAAAATATTTACATACACAGTTTAAAACAGTAACAAATCTTCAATGCGTTGTCATTTCAACAGTTCAAAACAAACAAAGGACATGTAACATGTACCTTTAGCATAGGCATATAAAATCCTAACAAAAAAAGATAAAAGTTACAAAACATTTGTGTGTATGTGAGAGTATTTGCAATAGAGGAAGTGTATGTGTATGTGAGTGTGTGCAATAGAAGAAGTGTGTGTGTGTGTGTGTGTGTGTGTGTGTGCACAACATGAACATCCATTTTACTTAATGTAACAACAAGGCTTCAGACAGGAAGATTAAAACTCCAACTCAAAGCTACATACAGGCCTACCTGAGAGAACAATTACTCTACACGAATGTCCTTCAGAAGCCGTCCAAGAACTCCTTTTCTGTGCTTCCTTCCCAGCCAATAGGTCCATTCAATAAACAGTAGCTGATCTTTCAAGGCCTTTTCATTTCGGTTTCCTCGAAGACGCCACACCTCATGTTTATAGGTGTTCCATGCCCTCTCAATGTGTTGGGTATGGTTGCCTGTGACTGGGTCAACAAAGTTGACGCTGTGGTTCACTGTATGGTGGACATATCCCACTTGACTAAGAGTAGAGTATGCACGCCATTCATCACTGATGATTACACTTTGCGGCCTCACATGTTGTTTGATGATGGGAAGAAGAGTCTGCTTGTTTCTTCTTTTGACTAGTCGCAGAACAGGTCTTCTGGAATCACCACGGATCTCCAAGATTCCAAAAACCCATGTTCTCCTCCTCCAGGTGTTGCCAATACGGCCTCTGGCATACTACATTGAAGAAGAAAAATGTATGATGTATTATTAACATTAAATGACACATTATGTGACACCAGTACACTGTAAAGATTTTTTTTTTAATTTACAGTGGAAATTCTGCAGTAATCTACAGTATTCCTTAAATACAGCAAAAAAATGTGCACTCTGTATAGCTTCTTGTCAAAAAAGTTAAAATACTGAATTTTACCATAATTAGCTGTTATTTGCAGATCAAATGGGGGAAATGGCTAGTACTTTGTACAGTCTTGAGCAGCTTGTCTCTGAATATTGTAGTGATGGCAGTGGGGCTTCCCAGCATTTGGTTATGCTCCATTTATATTTTCTTCTACAGTTCATTTCACATGTTTATTTTTTAACCTGTTATTCCTACCTCATATACACCATAGACAAAAATTTAATTATTTGCTATCAAAACTAATTAATTAAATTAATAAGAAAAATTGGTGCTGTTCACTCTCATTTTTATGTTATACTAGATAATGTGGTAAAACTAAGAAAAACAGGATTACAAAAAAAGAGTGTAGAAATACAGTAATCAGCTGTAGAGAATCAGCTTTAGAATCACAGTAAAGTAATGTTATGGTATTATACAGTACGAATATTGTAAACAAACATGAAGTCGCTACAGAAATTACTTCCAGTAAATTACTGCAATTTTACACTGAATTTATTTTAAGTGTAAGTCCTTCTCAGTTGAATAATTATATATTGTAGTTACTCTGAACATGTACATACACTAAGACACTGCTAAAAAAGCTTATGTTTTTCAAACTTAAAAAAATCATTGTTCTGGATATTCAAGTAAATGTAAGGTTTTTTATGTGCTTAGGTTTGTTGACATAAATTTAGTTATTACATTATCTCTACATGTTTTAAAATGAGTTAAAATTCATGGATTTGTATTTTTAAGTTGTTACTAGAGGGTTACTTGAAAATACCCATAAATCATAATAATTATCATTCTTTGGTGCAAGTTGTGCAGTGGTCTAGACCATGAATTTGAACCTAAAAAACATTAGCTTGAGGCGAGAACACAACAGCAATAATAAGCAAATTAAAAGTTTAGACAAGGGTGACTTATGACCTGCCACACCTTTTGTGTGAATCCAGAGAAGGGAATCTCTTTTCTTAAACATCCTGTTGAAAACAGTCTGTAGACTTACCTTCCTTTTGTGGCAGAATTTGCTCTCATCTATATGCACAACAGCATTGATGCCACCAACCCTTTGTCCTCTCCTGCCATATTTTTTCATGCTTTTATTGCATCTCTTTCGCAGTCTCTTGGACATTTTTGAGAGGGTGGCACTGCTGCCTGCGATCCCATCCTGGATCATGTCCACCTGTCTCATTCTCGATCCCATCCTGGATCATGTCCACCTGTCTCAGACCTTGTGCAAACCTGAATACAAATAAACCAATATGATTCTGCTTCTTCAGATGAGTGCCATATATTTAGTATGTGAACAAGTTGTAGCCTCAGCTTGATGTTTGAAGCACCCCACTAACCCCCAACCCCTACATGATAATGTATATGATAGTTTTTGTAGCTGACAGTTTTAGTTAATCATATTGCAGATATTCATGTGGAATAGTGACATGGTCTGATCATACCTGTGTATGTATTTCATCCATGTGAACAGAGTAGAATGTGATGTTGAAAAAAAGCTCCCAGTTCTTACACTCTTTGCTGTTCTGCATGGTGTCTTACATTTCCTATAAATATATATTAAAACTGTTCAAATAGTTGCCAGCTACACTCTGTGGCCATTTTATCAGCAACACCAACCTTAAAGGTGCACATTGTAAGTTTACAGAATCAGCCTTCAAGAATATTCCTTGAGACTGAAGGAATTGTAATACAATTGTAATTTCAAAAATCATAGGGATGATATGTGAGTAAAATACATAAGTTTTTTTTATGTATCTTTGACAATCTGCCACTGCTGTAAACAGAAAAACAAACCTGATAGCAGCTGGACATGGTGGCTGTGCATTAGTGTTAACTGTATCTCTTATATCATGAATAACAGCCAGATACACCATTATTATTAGCCAGGTTAACAACTACATATGATCGCTGTCCAAAAAAAAAAAATCTCCATCATTTCAGCACAGCAGCTGCCCTTCACATTCTGTGAAGATTTCATGATGATTGGACCAACATAAATGCTCCAAAATTGCTTTGAATAAAATAATTTTGCATTTACCTACACTGAAAATAAAGAATTGTTTTGCCTTTATTATTTTGATAACAAGAAAGGCAAAGGATGTGGAAGAGAGCAGTGAGAATTAGTGTAAACAATAATGGTTTAAATAAAAATGATTTAAAATAAATATGTATTTAACTTAAGAACTTAAGAATGCACAATAAATGCAGGTTTACTTACCATATGTAACCATCTTTGCAATTATGAGGGACCATCTTCATTCTTTTCTTGCATTTATTGCATTTCATTTTCCTTTTCAAAAGACGTTCCCTCTGCATCCATTCTATAAGCTTCAGTGACGTCTTCTTGGTCTCCCTAACATAAACCTTCTGAATCAGCTTATTCGGTAAATTAGCCATAACATAGACGATACGAGCTCCCTAAAAGTGGAATTTAATTTTGGCGGGGACTGTCATGACGTACTGTGGTTCTGGGCAAAAGACTGCGATCGTCCAATCAGAAACACTAACGGTTGTGATTGACAGGACACGCGCCAAGCAGAAGCAGGAACGTGAGCACACAAAGAACCGGACTCACTATTAACCGTTTATGCCAGCCGGGAGATTTTCTAAAAGAAGGGACAACCGAAAGCCTTAAGTGCTGCTTATGTGAAGATAAACATCACGAAAGGTAAGTGTGCGTTTTTGGATTGATAGTGTGATTTAAAACTATATCTTTTTTTTCTAGTAACATTAAAGCAGCTGTCAGTCAGTAGAGACTAGCTGGCTAATTAACTTATTTAACATTAAGCAGAGCTGTATTCGCGATGGTTGCTGTTTGGAAAAGGCACTCAGGCAGTGAGGTCGTGGTTGTAACTTAACTGGAAAACTCATAATGTTGAATGCATGACATTATTCGCTTAAATAAGCTGTATGTTGACTCTACTTGTGGCCAGCGAATGGTAGTGGGTAAAACCACGTAGGTAGCTAAGCTAACTAGCTAACGTCTTTTGAATCGGTTAGCTAGCAAAACAGTTGGGATTGTGGCGTCGTGGCAGAGAAGAATTAGGTGAGGGCCGTTTTGTGTATTTATTTTACTGTGGGTGTAACTTCATGCTCTTTCTAAGTTGCTTTCTAATATGGAATATTAAGCTAAATGTAAGCATTAATTTAGTTATGTAGCTAACTCTCCAGCTTTGGTTAACCAGCTAACCTGCTAACGTTAATCTAATTATCTTCAGCTAACGTTAGCTACAGTGCCTTTAAATTAACCTAAGTATTCACCCCCTGTTTTTCATGTTTGATGTTTTAACAACAGTGCATCTCAGTGAATTTAATCAGGCTTTTTTACACTGGCTTACTAAAAAAGAATTCCACCACCTTTTTGTAATTAAATTAGGATGTAAATAGAGTCACTCAGAGTAGTTTGGTGTGAAATGCTCTGTTTTAGAGAAACTTAGCTAGCTACAACCGGCGCTCGAAACTTGCTGAGTCAGAATTGTTCATAGTGGTGGTGATAGGAACCAGACGTCCACCTCTAAAAGCTCCCTCACCGAAAGCTATTTCATGAAATGGTTATGAATTCACTGCCTGATGACTGAGACACTGTTTTACCATAGTTGTAGAGGATTTTGGCCACAAACATTTTAATGTACATTTTATATACATTCAGAGGAGGGATGCACAGTAGGGGTGGACACTTTTTCTATTCATATATAACAAATAAAAAATATTTATTAAGTTCATATTTTGTTCATTATTAACTAGATGTCTGTGTACAACACACGCAAAGGACGAGGCAACCCCAAGGATGTGGAAGAGAGCAGTGAGAATGGTAAGTCAGTGCAGAAGCAATAAGCAGCTTGTCTTTTAAAAATATTTAAGAATTTTTTGTATTACATGATTTTTTAATCTTTTAGAATTAATTTACATTGGCCCAGTGCACGTTAAACAAACTGTACCCATTCTGAAGTGGCCAAAGCTGCAAAATAAGGCCAAACAAGACATAGTAGTACCTTAATAGTACAGTTACAGGTTTAACTCCTTGTCAGTTTTTTTTCCATGTACCTGGCCGTTCATCCCCAGCTTGTGCATCTGTGCGTGTCTTAGAGATAAGGGTGTGACCACTGGATGCCACCATGTGTTTCTGAGCTGCAAAACATAACTTAGTTCATATTTAGACTCCTGTTGCTATAAGTTGACTTAACTCTGTTGCTTTGTTCAAATGCTGTTTTAGTAGGAGGCAGTAAAATCCAGCCAATGAAGCAAGACCTGTTGGTTTGGAAGAATAAAGCAGAACTGTTAGAAAGCAAGGTGAAGGAGCTGGAAGCACATAATGATGAGCTTCGGCAGCAACTGGAGCATCTCAGTGCACAAGGAGGTAGTCTTATTAACTAAGTCATTCACAAAATATTATTTATGTGCAAAACCCTCTGAACCATCTGTAATAGTGCAGGCCCAGCTGCTCTGAATGTTGTGCTGATAGAAGCCATTTTTTAGCCCTGTTACTGCCTAATCTGTGTCCCCTGCCTGATTTGTACCGCCATGCTTCTGCCACGTGTGCGTAGAGAACGTTACTTTAACCAGCACCAGCCAGCACTACCCGTTATGTACAATCTGTATGATCATATGTGCAAGCGTTTTACGGTAGTTTGAAATTGTAGCTGAACCCCAACAAAACTGCCATATTCTTCAGTAGCAATCATTTGTGTAGTTTGCACTCTTCCCTGTTTGGTTGCCTACATAGAGTTTAATGATATGATTATCTAGCTGAGTGGTTTTGCTTTGTGTAACATTCTTAGCCTGTATGGGTGCTACAATACCAAAGGTATGAACAGATCTGGGCAAAATATAGGATCAATCTTAAATGGCTTTCTACTCCCTATGTAGTGTACACTACATAGGTCATTATGTAATGGTTTGTACACACAAACAGTGCATTGAATGTCTACATTAAAGTCATTTAAGTTCAGTTAAAGCTGCACAACATCCTCTCTAACGTTTAGTGCACTATTTGGGTATAGAAGCCATGCGTTCACGACCAATGCAGAGCACTATATAAGGAGTAAGAAGTCATTTGAGTTTCAGCCACAGACATGTCTTCTTGCTAATCCAAAATGATAATAAGAGCAGGTTTTTGATGTACCCCTCTCTTTACCCTGTGCTCTAACCTGAAAGTTTTTACCTACAGAAATAATACTAAGAAGTATTAAACTAGGAAAGAGAATAAGACTGCTTATATAGTGGTTTCAGCATTAAATACTCTAAGTTAATCTGCTAATGCTGCATCGTTAAAAGATGTTCATTCGAGGTACAGTGGACACCCTCTTGTTCAAACACAGCTTTTAAATGGCTTTGAAGCAACACGTTCAGCATACAATGCTGAACAGTGGTTGCAAGACTCACAAACCAAAACTAACAAAAGCAACAGCAAAGTAACAAAAATCCTGAGCTGAATTAACGGGAGCGAGAGAATACAATCACAGAGAAGTTGAGAACAATTAACTGTACATGTAACTGTTTAAACAAAACCTTGTATCACCATTTTTGTTTTTTTTTGTTTTTTAAATGCCAGTTGGTCTTTACATTAATGAATGGATAGAATGAAGTTCCAAAATTACTTAGAATCTTGTACCATTAACTTCTATTCAAAGTTGAGATCCTTCTGTTGTAAAGTTTACCATTGTTCCAACTATATGATTTATACACTCATTGGTTGTAACATTTTACAGCCACTGTTGCTCTCATTGGACATGGATGATGAAAATGAGAAACTATGGTCACTCTACACTCTTAAAATAGATGGTTCTTCAAGGGGTTTTTTATGAAGAAAAGGTTCTTGTGTTCATGATTTTTTACATCCAAATAGCGCACTACATGTTGAACATGGGTGTGGCTTGATTCCCAAATGAATATTTCTTAGCTATATTATGCAGTGTGGGGTTCAACATCCAGTATTTAAACTGCTCTGTAGTGCACTGTGTAGGGAGCAGGGAGCTGTTTGAGATTCAGACCCAGTGTGAGAAGAGGGGCATCATCAGATTGGCACAATATAAGACTTATGGTAGTAATTTGGTGGCCAAAAAGTATGTATAAAGCAAACGTGCATTAAACAGTGCTATGTTATGTTCATTGCTATATGACAAAAAGTTAAGTTTATAAAATGGCTTATTAGTATTATTAATAGTAGTAGTAGT